CCTCCAGAGGAACAGTGGACATGATCTTCATACCTTCATACTATGATGTTTCTTGAGTTTCCTTTTTCTGATCAAATACTTGCATGGGGCCTAAATACTCTAAAGTAGAGTTTCTCAAACTGTGGTCCTCCAGATGTTTTGGACTGCAGCTCCCACAACTCCTAACAGCTGGTAAACTGGTTGGAATTTCTGGGAGCTGGAGTCCCAAACACTTTAAAGATACTCAATCCTGACTGATCTTGGAAGCTGAGGGCCCTTCCAGATAGGCGCTATATCCCCGGATCCGTTCCCAGGTTTCTGTTTATTCCAGATTATCTGGCAATGCGGACTCATATAATCCAGTTTAAAACAGAAAACCTAGGATCAGATCCTAGGATATAGGGCCTGTCTGGAAGGGCCCTGAGAAAGGTCAGACTTATAAGTACTTGAATGAAGGATCACCAATTAATACCAGGTGGTGGTATTGATTGATGAAATTGATGAGGTTACTAGAAATCAAGAGGTAACCAGAGGCAACAAGTATTGTGCACATGCACACAATACTTCAATGTGAGTTTTTACAAAGCTTGTAATTTTAACTGCTTGAAAAATAAATAGCTGTATTTCCAAACTGGATACTAGGGCTGAAGTCCATGGGCTCAAAGCCCCCCCCCATCTCACATTACCACCCAGAAGGCAGCAAGAGATGAGGCAACTGCAAACTGGCCCACTAATAGTAGCTAAGCCAGCATAAGTGTACGCAGGCCTTTTATGGCTGATGTGTGCATTGCAACATCCATTCTTCTTATATCACTGGATTTTGACATTAGAATTAATGTTTTCAGCATTGCAATTCAGATAAGATAATAACTTATCAGAACAGTACAGAACAAACTGAGAAACGTACAATCAACGTCTGAGATAAAGCTCAATATAGAAAACATTATGATAAGGTCGAGTAAGAGTTGCCATAAGTCGGAAATGACTTGAAGGCACACAACTATATTGGAAGGCAGTAGGAAAATAGGGAGACCACTTCTTTACACATTGATTGATTCAAATAAGGATGTCATTACACTACATTGAACAGGCGCACAACAGGATGTTTTGAAAGTCTCTTATTCATAGAGTCATGATAGCTCAAAGTTGACTTGAAGGCAAACAACAAGAGGAACACACGTAAGACCTGACGGTGAGATATGTGGCGTAATAAAAGACTTGAAGTGGAGTAAATCCATTACTATGCAGTCTTCAAGTTGACGGAGACCTCCTTCTCCTTATTTGAAAAGTTAGGGCAGCCAACTGAGCAACTGAATGATTGCAAATATTAATACTGCTACTTTAAAATGTAATATGCATTATTATTGTGTACAAAAACCCTGTTTTTCAAGTTAATGTAGTTAGGATTTATATCAGGGGTCCTCAAACTAAGGCCCGGGGGCCGGATGCGGCCCTCCAAGGTCATTTACCCAGCCCTTGCTCAGGGTCAACCTAAGTCTGAAACGGCTTGAAAGCACACAACAACAACAATTCTATCCAGACAAAAGCAGGCCCACATTTCCCATTGACATACTAATAAGTTTTGTTGTTCATTCGTTCAGTCGAACGCCAGAGCTCCCTGTTGGCCGTCACCACCCCCAGCTCCTTCAAGGTCAGTCCAGTCACTTCAAGGATGCCATCCATCCATCTTGCCCTTGGTTGGCCCCTCTTCCTTTTACCTTCCACTTTCCCCAGCATATTTGTCTTCTCTAAGCTTTCCTGTTTTCTCATTGTGTAGCCAAAGTACTTCATCTTTGTCTCTAATATCCTTCCCTCCAGTGTGCAGCTGGGCATTATTTCCTGGTGTATGGACTGGTTTGATCTTTTTGCAGTCCAGGCACTCTCAGGATTTTCCTCCAACACCACAGTTCAAAAGCGACTATCTTCCTTTGCTCAGCCTTCCTTATAGTTCACTCCCACATCCATAGGTTACTACAGGGAATACCACTGTATTTATTAAGTGTCAGAAATTCCCAGATGTTTGTTAAAATTGTTCTTCATTTTAATTATTGTATTGTTTTTAAATGGTTTTTGCACTACAAATAAGATATGTGCAGTGTGCATAGGAATTCATTCACATTTTTTTCAAATTATAATCCGGCCCTCCAACAGTTTGAGGGACTGACCCGGCCCTCTGTTTAAAAAGTATGAGGACCCCTGATCTATATAGTTGAAACAAATAACATTTTGTTCCTTTAATGCCTGTGGCAGCCACAAACTCCAGGCCTCAAGATGAATACATCCCTAGCTGTACCAGGTGAGAGCCCACTTATGACGCTCTTCCTGTTCAAAACACATTGTATCCTAGGTGAATCAATTTATCTTGACACCACAAACAAGCAAACCCCCCCCCCCAAAACAAACAAACAATCCAACATCTTTCTCCTTCTTGGCATTCTAAACTATTACAAAATAATCAATAATTTGGTGCCGTTTTGCAATATGCAAAGTCTGCATGGATTACATGCTTTGATAACCTGGATTATATAGCAATGTAGAAGGGGCCTACAGTGACAGCTACTTCCAGAGCCCTTGGACCTATCTCTGTAACTTTTCCACTTGGCCTGATCAAAACACACATTATAAAAACAACATACAATATACAAATGGTCTGAATAAAAATATAAATATACAAACAAAGAAAGTTTCTTGCAATATAATATAAAAGTAAAAAATGGAAACCATCTATACCTCTGCCCAGGGCCGTAGCCAGAATTTTTTTTTTGGGAGGGTTGAAATTTTTTTAGCAAATCATGAAGAGTAGTTCGATAACACAACAACATTTTTAATGCAGTCCAAAGACCCTTATTGCTCCGTAAAAGGTATAAGATACAAGATATAAGGTAAGTAAGGCCAAAAATAGCTAAAACTGATTAAAACACATGATGTGGGTGGAATTAACAGCAGATAAAACTGATAAAACAAGGATTAAAACTTATAACTAGCATTTAAGATAGCAATGGCCTAGGTAAAAAACTACAAAGGGTAACAGGCATTTTCATCGTGCCATAACATAAAATACTTTAAATTATGTGGTTTCAAGTATATTTTATATAAAAGGTAAAGGTAGTCCCCTGACATTAAGTCCAGTCATGTCCAACTCTGGGGGTTGGTGCTCACCTCCATTTCTAAGCCGAAGAGCTGGCATTGTCCATAGACACCTCCAAGGTCACGTGGCCAGCATGACTGCATGGAGCGCTGTTACCTTCCCGCAGGAGCGGTACCTATTGATCTACTCACATTTGCATGTTTTCGAACTGCTAGGTTGGCAGAAGTTAGGGCTGACAGCGGAAGCTCACGCCGCTCCCCGGAATCGAACCTGCGACCTTTCGATCAACAAGCTCAGCAGCTCAGTGCTTTAACCCACTGCGCCACCGGGGGCTCCAATATTTTATACATTTTATATTTTATATGTTTTATATATATTATATAGACTTCATTAAATCAAATTTCTATTTTAGTTAAAGTTTCAAGTCTTAAAATAACTGAAAATGATTGCTAATTGATAATTTATAGTTACAAAAGAATACCACAACGTTTGTTAGAAACACTTGAAAACTGTGTCAATACACTTTGACAGAAATCAGGCTCCATTGATAAACTTCGGTGGACACTCAAGAGTGCAAGTCCGGTCAGTCTTTCTTGCCTCATTGTGCTTCTTGTGTATGTTTTCAAACGTTTAAGGGTCGAAAACAACCTTTCATTTGTAGTTGTTGACAGGGCCGTAGCCAGAAAAAAATTTCGGGAGGGGTTGAAATTTTCGGGGGGGGGGGTTGAAAATTTCGGGGGGGGTTGAAACCTGCCTCCTAGCTCACGCTGAAGCAAAGAGCACAGCAGGGGCAGAGCAGCCTTCAATAGCCTGCAGCTCCGCCCCTGTCAACCACCTCCACCAAGTCTGGCCTCCTTAATGAGAGCATTCAACACCCCCCCCCCAACTTGGTTGCTTCGCTACATCGGCTATTGCTGCAAGTAATGACAGTGTGAATAAATTGTCAATATTTGCTTGAGATAGTGCTTGCAGTTCTGGAGGGACTTAATTTTTTGCATCTCATAGACTTAGCATGGGGATTTGGTTAACCAGTTAAAATTCATGAGTAAACCAGGTTTTTAAAAAAAATCTGAAACATTTCGGGGGGGGGGGTTGAACCCCTAAAACCACCCCCTCGCTACAGGCTTTGTAGCTGTTGACACTGGCAATGTTGCAGAAATCTGAAGAAGTTTCTTCACATTCGGAAAAAACTGTCCATCACAAACAAGATAAGATATGCTTCCAGTGCATTTGATGGTTTTTTTGCAGGTGCAATCTCATAGACTTAGCATGGGGATTTGGTTAACCAGTTAAAATTCATGAGTAAACCAGTTTTTTTTTAACTTGAAAAATTTCGGGGGGGGGGGGTTAAACCCCTACCCCCCCCCCCCCACAGGGCTGCCTCTGCCTAAGGTTTGTGCCTCAAACACTGTATACTAATTATTTGATCTATATACTCTAATCTCCTTTATGTAGATAAAGAGCAACTTTTGATGTTAAGACTGGGTTAGAACCAACTAGTATTGGTTCTCAGCCTGGGGTCCCCAGATGTTTTTGGCCTACAATTCCCAGAAATCCCAGCCAGTTTACCAGCTGTTAGGATTTCTGGGAGTTGAAGGCCAAAAACATATGGGGACCCCAGGTTGAGAACCACTGAATTCGCTTCTGACAGGATAAATTAAATCAACCCGCGACACAAGGACAGCAACGGACTTCTGACCAACATCTCCCAACTCCAGGGTTGTCCAGGGAGAGAGGCGTGGTCTCGCTCGGGATTGGCTCACAGCTTCCCCTATGCAAATTGTTGTCCGCGCTCGGAACTTTGACGCACCAATGGGCTTCCTTCTCTCCTGGACCCCGCCCCCCTCGGGAGTGATGCCTCTGCAACAGGAGGAACGCAAGAAGAACTTCAGCGGCCCCGCCTTCCCAGGGTGGGGAGAGGAGGGGGGCGAGTTGAGAATAAAGACAGATAGCGGATCGGCCGCAAGAGGAGAGAGAGAGGGAGAGAAAAAGAGAGACAGAGGAGAGGGAGGCAAGGCGCGCGCGCGTGAGAGGAAGAGAGGCAAGGCGCGCGCGCAACAGAGAGATAAAGAGAAGCAAGGCGCGCGCGCGAGAGGGAGAGAAAGTATGAAATAAGGCGCGCGAGAAAGAGAGAGAGCGCGAGAACAGCCGAAAAAAGTTTGCCACCAACTTGAAATAAGGCGAGCGCGAGAAAGAGAGAGCGAGCGCGAGGCAAGGCGCGCGCGCGCGCGCTGAGGAGAGAAGGGGCGGAACAGCCGAAGAAAGTTTGCGACCAACTTCGCCGCGGCTGCAGTGGAGGAGCAGGAGGAGCGGCCGGTGGGGCGCTATGCCTGAGCTGGAGCGAGGAGGGCTGGCTGGGCCTTGAGGGCAGGGAGGCAAGGGTCCCGGAGGCCCAGGAGGAGAGCCGTGGGGGCAGGAGGGCGGCCCGGAGAGGCTCTTTCAGGCAGGCAGGCAGGCAGGCAGGGAGCGGGGCCAGGATGAGCCTGCTCTCGGCCATCGACACCAGCGCCGCCTCCGTCTACCAGCCGGCCCAGCTCCTCAACTGGGTCTACCTGTCCCTGCAAGACACCCACCAGGCCAGCGCCTTCGAGGCCTTCCGCCCTGAGCCCCCGTCCGCCGCCACCGCTTCGCAGCCCCACCACCACCAGCAGCAACAGCAGCAGCAGCCTGAACTGGGCTATCCCAGCAAGGGCAACGCCGAGCTGGGCTCGTCCCTCAACTCCAGCTATCTCAACAGCTTCCTCCAGCTCCAAAGGAATGAGGTAAACAGATTTTTTTGGGGGGGGGGGAGGGGGAGAGAGTTGGCCATAGTCGTGTGTAACTAAACGTTCAGCTGCTCGGAGGGAAAGGCGTCGCTGCCTTCATCTTCTTTCTATCTTCTTATATTATACTAGCCGTCCCCTGCCACGCGTTGCTGTGGTCCATATCTGTGTGGGAGATTTCGCCCAATTCTATCGTTGGTGAGGTTCAGAATGCTCTGTGATTGTAGGTGAACTATAAATCCCAGCAACTACAACTCCCAAATGTCAAGATTCTATTTTCCCCAAACTCCACCAGTGTTCACATTTGGGCATATGGAGTATTCGTGTAGAGTTTGGTCCAGATCCATCGTTGTTTGAGTCCACCATGATCGCTGGATGTAGGCGAACTACAACTCCAAAACTAAAGGATACTGCCCACCAAACCCTTCCAGTATTTTCAGTTGGTCATGGGAGAACTGTGTGCTTAGTTTGGTTCAATTCCATCATTGGTGAGGTTCAGAATGCTCTGTGATTGTAGGTGAACTATAAATCCTAGCAACTACAACTCCCAAATGACAAAATCATTGTTTTTTTAAGTGAAGAACATACATTGGGTTGTTAGGTGTATCGTGTCCAAATTTGGTGTCAATTCCCCCAGTGGTTTTTGAGTTCCGTGAATATCACAAACGAATATTACATTTTTATTTATATCTATCTATATATAAATGCTCTGTGCATAATGAGTACCTTAAAAACAAAAGAACCAATGAACGAAATCACACCAAATTTGGCAACAAAACGCCTCACAACACAAGGAGTGACCATCTCTCAACTATGATTTTGTCATTTGGGAGTTGTAGTTGCTGGGATTTATAGTTCACCTACAATCAAAGAGCATTCTGAACTCTATCAATGATGGAATTGAACCAAACTTGGCACACAGGACTTCCACGACCAACAGAAAACACTAAAAGGGTTTGGTGGGCATTGATCTTGAGCTTTGGAATTGTAGTTCACCTCCATCCAGAGAACACTGTAGACTCAACAATGATAGATCTGGACCAAACTTGGCATGAATACTCAATATGTCCAAATATAAATACAGATGGAGTTTGGGGGAAATAGACCTTGGCATTTGGGAGCTGTAGTTACTAGGATGTATAGTTCAACTACAATCAAAGGGCATTCCGAACCCCACCAATGATGGAATTGGGCCAAACTTCCCACACAGAACCCCCATGACCAAAGAAAATACTGTGTTTTCTGGTGGTCTTTGGTGACCCTTCTGACACCCCCCTGGTGACCCCTCCCCCAGGGGTCTTGACTTCCCAGCTTGAGAAATGCTGCCTTAAGGCCATCCAGTCCAACTCCCTTCACCAGGACAAGAAAAGATAATCAAAGCCCTCCTGACAAAGGCCATCCAGCCATTCACGTACACACATATCTGTATATGACAGATGCAGTATCAAAAATTTGAAAGGGACCCCTAAAGAAGGGCAATAATATGTGGCACGTTCCAGAGTAGGCAAACCGGACAACCTCCACATCAACACTGACAAAGAAATACTGTTTACCCACAAGCAGAAAGACATTACATATATTAGAAACCAACACTTTCTAATTACTTCATTTTCCAGATCACCAGACTGGGCCACAGCAACATGTGGCAAGGGACGGCTAGTACAGAAATATATCAACACAGCCAGGCCCCTAGGCAGGAAAAAAAAACTCGGGAGGGATTGGAACTTTTCCCCCCATCGACTACCTCATCACACTAAAGAATGAATCCACTTAAAATCTGGTTTCTGCCTCCTGCAGGTTTCTGGGGTTTGTAGTTTAGTGAGTCTGTTAAAGGCTCCTCCCTAAACTACAAACCCCTGAATTCTGAAGCCAACTTAGCTGTCCGAATGCATCTCCTTCTATGAATCAACTAGGATGTTAAGATTGTCTGGGGAGACCCTGCTCTTGATCCCGCCTGCATCACAAATACGTTTGGCAGGGCCGAGAGACAGGGCCTTCTCAGTGGTGGCCCCTTGGCTGTGGAACGCCCTTCCCAAGGACATTAGATTGGCCCCCTCTCTTTTAACATTTCGGAGGAAAATCAAGACCTGGCTGTTTGAGCAAGCATTTGGAAATCTTTAAGGCAGTGTAACAGACATAGGAATATGAAACGATTGGACGATGAGATTGGACCTTTGTTTTTAACTAGAAGATGGAGCCCCCGGTGGTGCAGTGGGTTAAACTCCTGTGCCGGCAGGACTGAAGACAGACAGGTCACAGGTTTGAATCCGGGGAGAGGCGGATGAGCTCCCTCTATCAGCTCCAGCTCCTCATGCGGGGACATGAGAGAAGCCTCCCACAAGGATGATAAAAACATCAATTCATCCAGGCGTGCCTTGGGCAACGTCCTTGCGGATGGCCAATTCTCTCACACCAGAAGCGACTTGCAATTTCTCAAGTCGCTCTTGACATGACAAAAAAAGGAGACGGAAATGATTTTATTGACCTTGCTATGATTATATATTATACGTTAATGTTTTAAATGTTTTAATTGTTTTATGATGTTGCTGGGCATTGAATTTTGCTTCTGTCGCCCATAGGCTGAGAAAGGGTGAGTAAAGCTTGTGTGGGATATGTGAAATCCCCAGTTCCAGATTTTGTAGTCTTCAGAACTCAGTGTACCTGTCCGAACGCCCATAGGCTGAGTCGCCCATAGGCTGAGAAAGGTGATATACAAATGTAGTAAATAAATAAATAAATAAATAAATAAATATGTGATGAGATCCCGAGATGACTTTTCAGGTCAGTGTCTCCTGATCCAGCAGGAGATCTCAACAAGGCCCTGAGATTACCATCACTGTGCAAAGGTTCTTCACAGGTCCTGAACCATTACTCCCTCTTTAAACCAGATCTTGTCTTTTAAAAAAAAATATTTATTTTTATTTTATTGTCTACCTCCCTTGACATACAATTTATAGACTAAACTACAGATATTTTATTTCAAATATCAGTCTCAATTTTTCCACTCCACATCTTAATACATTCTTGAAATAATTCCTAACTGGATCCGACATGCTCTTAATTATTATTATAGCATTTTCTGTGTTGTCTATATTGTTCAATTTACAATTTGTTATTTCCACATTTAAGATGTTTACTATATTATTATACCAATTTCTCAGAGTCCACTTGATTTTAATGTATTGTCGAAGGCTTTCATGGCCGGAATCACTGGATTGTTGTAGGTTTTTCGGGCTGTTTGGCCCTATTCTAGAAGCATTCTCTCCTGATGTTTTGCCTGCATCTGTGACAGGCATCCTCAGAGGTTGTGAGGTGAAAGACCCATGAGGCTTGGGAAACTTTGATAAGAGTTTATTTATTTATTTATTTCGGTCACTTCTACCCCGCCCTTCTCAACCCCCGAGGGGGGACTCAGGGCGGCTTACACCGGCACAATTCGATGCCAACAATTCAACAAATGAATTACATAACAGTACTTAAAACAATCAATTAAAACAATAACAATTAAACAATTAAAAGCCAATCTAGTGGCCAACGTTCACTGAGTTCTAATATCCGTAAGTCCATTCAGCATTACCATAGTCCTTTCCAATTTCTGGCCATCATTATCTTGTCAGTCTGCCAGATTACCCAAAGGCCTGGTCCCATATCCATGTTTTCAGCTTCCTTCTGAAGGAGAGGAGGGATGTTGATGACCTAATTTCCCCGGGGAGTGAATTCCACAGGCGAGGGGCCACCACCGAGAAGGCCCTGTCCCTCGTCCCCACCAGCCTCACTTGTGATAGAGGCGGGGCCGAGAGCAGGGCCTCCCCCGAAGATCTTAAACTCCGAGGTGGGACATAGAAGGAGATATGTTCGGACAGGTACACTGAGTTCTGAAGACTACAAAATCTGGAACTGGAGATTTCACATATCCCACACAAGCTTTACTCACCTTATTCTAGCTCCCGTTTCAGTCTTGCCATGCCTCCCCAAAACATCTTATCTGGAACTGCTTTTGCAGCACAGCCATGGATTGTTTATGTTCTCATATGGAACCTGTACTCTGCTTCCAGATTAAAGGATGCATGATATTCAATAGCTGGGAATTAAGGGAATTCCTGTGGAATGAGAACCTGTGAGTTGCAAGCATTCAACGACTGGAAAGTTTATACATTCAAGTTTATGTTTCTGCCAAGACAGAAAGGAAAAGGAACCATACCAAGGACACAATAGCAACAACTAGGAGAAAGAGGTCTAAAAAGCAATATGTAGTCTACTGTATACCATGCATCTGTGGACAAGCCTACATAGGGACCACCAAACGCAGCATTGCCCACACACGAATCAAGGAACATGAAAGTCACTGCAGACTAATTCAACCAGAGAAGTCAGCCATAGCAGAGCACCTGATGAACCAATCTGGACACATCATATTATTTGAGAACACAGAAATGCTGGACCACTTTAGCAACCACCATGTCAGACTACATAGAGAAGCCATTGAAATCCAGAAGCATGTGGACAATTTCAACAGAAAACTGGAAACCATGAAAATGAACATAATCTGGCTACCAGTATTTTAAAAAATCCTCTAAATCAGGACAGTAAATAAAGAATGACTCTCAGAAAACAGGGGAATTCCAGACAATAAACATTCAGTGCTAACTAACACCCCCCCCCCCACACACACACACAAGATTCCCCCAGGCAGGAAGCAGCCAGGTTTTGAAGCTGCAAGGCCATTCAATGTTAAACAAGGTATTTATTTATTATTTGCGGTATTTGTATACTGCCCTTCTCAACCCCAAAGGGGACTCAGGGCGGTTCACAGTGTTGGCAACAATTCAATGCCAAGGTGGCCAATTGCAACATTCACACTTGCCTCAGGCAGACAAAAGTTCTTTCTCCCACCCTCCTCCAAACACCACACCATACTTAGACTGCACCCTGTACATGAAATGTGTAGGCTAACCAGGGAAATCCGCTCAACTATTTGGGTTGAAATCTTAGATGCCTCT